GTCCAAGTTGTTTAATTTAAAGTGCCTATGCAACGAAATTTTTACCTCATTTTTTATTGTTTTTCTAAAAAGTACTGCTGGAGTAATGAAGAATGATGCTTACAGTTTCGTATATCTCATCTCATTCTCAAGTTATCGCACTTTCTATATTTTGAGTAGCCTGCGAGCAGGCTCTCTGGGTGAAAGAGAGCCTGCAAGGATCCCTATGATGATTGCGTGCCGCCCTTCAATTAGGATGTCACAAATCAATTAATAACAACCAATCAGCGCAGACCGGAAATACACTTCAATATTGTAAACATAAACCGATAAACGTTGAACTCCATTTATATTGTATTCTTTCGTTAGTTTCGTATACAGACCGCCACTGGGGCATACTAAAAAAGTTAAAACGGCTTGAGGTTTTACAGTGTAATATATCAAGTTGTACTTTTTATTACAATCTGCATGTGTTTCTGTAGGCACAATAAGTTTAAAGTTGTATATTACCCGCTAACTAATTCAGTTGTTTGGAACTGCTTCATGCTGCAATAAATAAATAAATAAATATATATAAATAAATATATATATATATATATATATAAATAAATATATATATATATATATATATATATATATATATATATATATATATATATATATATATATATATATATATATATATATATCCAGTATAGTAATAATATAACTGCAATAAATAAATATATCCAGTATAGTATGTGATATACCATGGACATTGGACAAAATTTAATATGTTTATAGTTCAAATTTTGCACAAAAGGTGGAATTACAGTATTAAACATGCATGTGATAATTATTGTAAACAAAGTGACGAGTAAATTACTGTACATTTTAACGCCGCATACTTATAAATATTAAATAGTCAGTATATAAACATTGTAAAACAAGCTTAATACAAACAATATGCACTGAATATTATCAAAATAATTCTCAATATTGTTTCATGAAAGAGAAGCGATATATAAGTGCCTTGTCCCTAGGTTTCGGTCTGCGAATTTGTTCAGTCTTTTCTTAGCCTAGAAGTCAGACAAGCCCAGGACACAATATAAAAGCATGCAAGCTTTTAGTATCCGTCTTTATATGAATACTATATTATTTTACTGTAAGAAGTCAACAAGGATACAAAATACATGACACTTTTATCTCTACATTGCCGCAAGTCTGAAGCTTTGCGTTGCTCGGTTTACAAACAGGAAGTGTAGTTTATGGAAGCTTGTCAATCACTTCATTTGAATCAGTTATCAACCAATCAGAGCTCTGCGTCCAAATATTGGATGCATGCACGTAAATATCATAGGGATCCTTGCAGGCTCTCTTTCACCCAGAGAGCCTGCTCGCAGGCTAATCATATCGAAACTCTTTGGACCTTCGTTAAACGAGGCGTATTTACACAAAAACAGTTGACGTTTCTTTCTTGGAACATTAGAATTTGATTCCCCAGGGTCATCGAATATTTAGAATAAATCTTTTAAAATCAAAGTCGCTTCATAATTTAATTTTCATGCATTTCCAAAGACCTTAAACAAAAATAAAGGAACACATCCATCCAATAAACATTTTTAATTTAAATTTCACTTCATTCAAACGAATATTCACGATAAAATGGTAACAGTTATCAAATTAGTTTAACAGGCTGTTTTTAGCTGATTCTCGACACTTCCCAAAATGTTTATTCAAGTTTAAACGCAGCTCTCTCGGTCAATATTGCACGAAATTGCACAGGGCGTATATCAAAATTTAAGTTAAACAATACTGAATGCAATGCACGCAGTTCAGCTGTAATAGCTCTTTTAGTTTTTAAGTTAAAATAAATCAAACAGGTTAACTTTTTTTTGCGCCACCCGGTATATATAATTAAGCATGCGAAAGGCTAATTTTTTAGAGACAAATGAATAGTTAAAGGGCTTAAACTAAAGTAAATTATCTGAAATTTTGTACAGTAATTAAAAACCCAACAAATGTTCCATCTATCAACTCAAAATATGATTAAAGCTTTTAAATTTCGTGCGCAAGCCATTTTTAGTTTGTTGGAAAAGACACACACCCTGGTTTACAAAATTTGAGTTCGAGAAATTTTTCCCATTTTTCTGCATTATAAGTACCCAGTAGCTGTTTTGCGAATTTAAGAGCAATTTCAAATCTGTGCAGTTTTTTTTATACACCCTGTATATGTATATATAGTGTGGTATTCACGCGTGTTCATCACACCCTGTGAACGATGGTATTGAGTGGACACGTGTAATTGCTGCCGCAGCGAGCGAGCCTGAAGCGAGCGAGCAAGGCAGCAGATCCTAATTTTGTTTTGTGGGTCGATATCAAAATTTTCTATTTGGCGCATTGCATGACGGTACCAGTGAATTTTAACCGTGGTGCAGCGCGGTCAGGCATAAGGCAAACAGGCAATGTGATCATCTTTCATCTTTGGTCTTCTTTTATGGAAAGCCATAGCTGGCTTAAAGTGATCAGACGGCATTTTGTTGGGTGCTTTTAGCATTATACGGCGCCGGGCGGTGCTTTCGGCATTATACACGGTGCTTTCGCCATTATACGCGGTGGTTCCCGCATTATACACTGTGGTTCCAGCATTATACGCGGTGCTTTTACCATTTATATACGCGGTGCTTTTGCAATTATACGCAATTATATTTCCATGACATGTATATGATTTAATGATTGCTTAAATTTGGTATGTGGTTGACGAATGCTTTTTGCCTATGGTCCGCAAAGACAATGACATGCTTTTCTGTGTATATAAATGAATATATAAACGCAGCGAATGCGCCAAGCAGTATAAACGCGCGGCTGAAATACGATATTAAAATCTTGAATGTGCCGTATGATTTAATTATGTTTTAGGATTTACAAATGCTTTGTCAAGTGGTGTTTATACTTGTACTGCATCACAAGGCAGTACGTAAGTGAAAAAATTTCACATGTGAGCTTGCCTTGTATATATTTTTGCTTTCTTTGATAAACATTATTAATAAACACGCAAATTTTAATTAGTGAGACGCAATGTTAAATGTCACCTGCATGTCATTGTCATTGCCCTTTAACCCCTGGTCTAATTGGCCGCTTTTGAAAATGTTCAGATCATGACGAACCGCACTTTTGTGTTTTAAAAACGAGTTAGGATAAAACGCGGATACGGACGGACAGATGAATAACGGACGGACGGACGGATGGCGACGGACGGACCGGACGGATAACATATATATGTCATTATATAGTCTGCGCGCAGCCGCGCAGGGTAGTTAGTGGCTTACGTCTTCGCTGGTTGTTATACTTTAAAATAATTTTGTATTTCCCGAGAAATCAATATTCCGAGTATATAAATATATAAACTGGGATGTCACACTGATAGTTTGTTTACATTTCCTGGAGCATCAAATCTTATGTTTAACCATGGTGGTTTAACCCATTAGCTGGCAATGCGCCAGTCCCTTGTCCAGCGCCAGGAAATTTTACTCGTCAGTGGTACAGGGTACTGCCAGTAAATGGGTTAACAAACCTATCTGCCAATGGCTCTTGTTAATCCATCAGCACAGTAATGACTTTAGTATTTACCCTGTCCAACGCCAGACGATTTTTAATACTCAGTCAGTGGTAGGGCCGTGCTGTCAATAAATGGTAGGATAACAACAATAGGATGTTTCTGAAGGACTCGTTCAACACCCTGTAGTTTGTCTTTTGCTGTCAAAGGCAGCATTACTGCCCTGTGGGTAACCTAGTATATAGAATATGGTCTTATGTATGTAAAGTAAACATATGAACAAAACTACAAGACTCTGTCTTTATATCACATAGTCAAATCAAATTTTTATAGACGATTCCAAAACACACAGCCATTGGAGTACTGCTCCCATTAAGTACCTACGTGGTAAAAGTACAAAGCCTTCCATATACAAAACCATACAGCGAGGGTGCTGTAAAAAAATCTGTCAAAACTCAAGGTAAGTATTTTTGTAGAGGAAAATGAATCGACAAACTAACAACCTTAACAATTATTCATGAACCGAAGTGGAGGTCACGATACTGCAAGGATATTCACCGAAATGCGAAACGTTATAATGATAAATTGTTTGAGAACATGCCACAACAAAAAAATGACCAAAAAAATGACCAAAAAAAGAACGAATTCATTTTAGAACACTTTTTTCAGCTACCGTAATAGTTGTAAACAAAACAGCATTTAATTAAACGTTTTTATCAATCAAACAAAACTTTGTGGCTTTCTTGATGTTTGGCGAAACCCCATGTGCTTCGTTCAGCACAAAAATTTGCTCGTCTGTAACCGCGAAACAAAATTAACGGGAAGGCCATTTGGTTTTTGTCCGGAGGGGCTTGAGCTACCAATCAAATTGCGCGAAAATCACTATCCACCTCCCGAGTAATTACTAACATGTATTACTGCTATTTCATTTAAGGTTGTCACAAGCATTATAATCCAAGCGCCAAATATAGTCGGAATAAGATATTTTATAGAGTGAAATGTACTATAAATCATATACCCTGGGAGTAGCCCAAACAAAAACGAGGATATGCATGGCCAATAGGCTATACAGCTAAAAATGCTAAAATTTGTTATGTCTATCTTGCTGTTCACGCTTGGCAATCGTTTGAAAAATAGTAACGTAACATATACAATCTGGTTTAGGATGGTGTGATTTAAGAAATATTGAAGTCTGTTGTGGTAAGTGCATGTAAAGTATTTGCTTTATTATAAGCATTGGCGTACGGGGCTGAGATACTTTCCGTTGCTTGAAAGTTTGCCCAAATTTTTATGGAGAATTGTAATTATAAATTATCTGAACTTAACTTATTCCCTAATAAATTTGCCCGAATTTCCATGGTTTTCCAAAATGTTTGAGGGGCAGTTGCCGCCCCCTCCCCCTGTATTTCTCCTGTATTATTATATGTTCGGTTTCTTTCTTTTGCGGTTTTATCCAATAATTTACATTATAAAAAGAAGGAACGACGGACACAGTATAGTATACTGATTATTCAAATTCTTTTTTCTACGTCTCAAATTTTAGAATCATATGTAAATGCTAGCCTCGTGAGTAATCACAACAGAACAAGTTTGTCTTGGACAATGTATTATCCTCCAAGTTTGAATGTCACTGTTGATGCTTTCATTATCGAATGGATAAGTCTACCTCTTGGAATCTGTAAGGAAAACTTCGTCGTCTTAGATTCAGTAAGCTACATACAGTTACATTTCTATACTATACCTGGAATCCTAGACATAGTCATCAGGAGAAAACTATGGCCGTGGAAATTTGTTATTGCCTGACTCTGACTAATTGAATTTTAAGAATCTGGAACTATAAGTCAAATTGGCGCTCTTTTTAAATTATTGTATTGTTTTTTTTACGCTCTGCCGGCAATGGGGGGGGGGAGGGGGAGCTTGCGGTTGTAATTTTAGATTTGTTGCAATTCGATACAAATCGTGGAAGAGGGGCTGCGTGGAAAATTGTCAACATACAGTGTTAAGATTCTTATGCGCATCTACTCATATACAATCTACTGAACGTTGTTCTAATATGAATCTCTTTGTGAATATGTGTCCCACTGAATTAAATTGTCATGCAACTATTCTGAAATCAATACTTAATACTTTTAAAATGTGATTTAATATCTTTTTATTTTTCTTTCAAGTTCGTTCACACTGCATGCAGAGAGTGTCGTTTTAAAAACCCAAAATTCAAGTTTTATTCCGAGGGTAGCATTCCCCCGAATCGTTCTTTAATTCTGACAAAGAGATTAATATGTTGCCCCCTCAAAACATAATCCAGGTAGCGCACGGACTGGAGAACGTAAAATTCCCTCCAAAAAAAGAAGCCGAAAATGATTTTTTTCACTCAAGTATTATACATCCAGTTAGCAAATGCAAAAACATCTGGGGAAACAGTTTTCTTTTGCGAATATTGCACAAGTTTTGGAAAACAAAAAAAAGATCACTTTCGACACAAAAACCTAAAACCTTTTGACCATCTTAATTTCTTGTTTTGTACTAAAAAACAGGGATTGTTATTGTTTGAAAATTTATATTTTTATTCTAGACACGATCAAACTACACATTTCCAAATCTGACATATAAATGTGGACGAAATTACACGATCCAAGTATGTGCATTTGTAATTTCTATGGATTGATTTAGTCCATCTTGATGGATTGGTCTGAGATATATTTAGATATTTTTATTCCTCAATTTGCTTTAAAAAATATAATAATGATTTGCTCGTCGCGTTTAAAGAATCGATTTCGGGTCTCAAAATAGAATTCAACCAGTTTTCCTCTTTGTTCTCTGGTAAGTGGTACACTCGTACGATTTGTCTTATACACTCATCAAAACAAATTGCAAGCATACTGTATATCTTCAATATCCAAAAAAGAAGGAGTTCTGACTAATCGAAAAACGTAGCAACTCTCTTTCTTATTTTGGGCCACCTTTCTGTATTAATGCATGGTTAGGATGATATGATCGTTATTTTATCTAGTACAAAAGTATCAAATTATATTAAATTTGACATAGTAATTCAACGAAACGAGTCGTTATTAAGGGACACTTTGCTATATTTGCTTTTTAGCTGGTAGTGAGGTATGCTAGTTACGCTGGTGATGTTGGGTGTGACAAGTCACAACCTGAAGTATTATTCTACACTCCACCAGGTATTTCCATCACATATTTTGGCACGTTTTACAGGCGTAAACTGTACCTGATTTAAGGTAGGGCAAACATATATACATGCATAAAAACTTGTTACAAGTGGTGAACAGTTTGTTCCAAACTTGTTACAACAACCAGGAACAAGCAGCGCGAGCACAAAGCTTGTGAACAGAGTTGGATAACAACTTCTTTGCAGACATGTAGCAACATGTGCGTTTTACCGTGTAAGGGACATTTTCCAAGATAACATCTCATTCTCGTTCCTGGACTTTTGTGGCACGGTTTTAAGAACAGTTTCCGAATTGTATGAAATATGGTAAAAAACATCCATATGTCAAGAGCGATGCATTGTTGAATCACTGACCCCGATCTGTCATTATATATTAAAAAAATAACGAAAAAATAAATTAAACCCACTGTAAACTATTGTTGGAGAATGGTTCGTGGTGAAGTGACTCAACTATAATACAATAATTATTGTTATACTCTAAAACAATGGTCAACGCAACACAAGATCTTGTGTTGTCATCGTGTGTGGGTTTACATAAGATCCGCCAGAAGAGACTAAAAAGGGTACAGACCTCCTCTGACAAAGACCAGAACCAAGGGGTAATAATTCCCTTGGACAGTATCTACGATTCGACTTATTATGTTTGCATTAAATAGCCTGAGGCTATGGGCATTTGGCCATTGAGAACACTTCAACCCCAAAAGCCAAAATCAATTTACAACATGAAGCAATTTAAATATTTACATGCATATAATGATAATGTTCAATAAGAAAATTGTTTGGTTGTCCTTCTTGCATACTAGTCCTCGCATAACATCAGTTAATACATTCCACCAGACCAATTAGCCATTTAATCACAACACGTAACTTGAATGTGTGGGTGCAGGGTGAATGGGTTTGGGTGAAAATTTTCTTTCTCGTTAATTAAACAAGACATGCTTCATCGTTTGGACATTTGTTAAGTGAAAACCCTTCCCATCGACCATTGCTTTGCATGTTCGTTGTCGTCATTCAGTTCATATTTTATTCGGTTCGCACGTGCCCAAAAATATTTGAACTTTGTACGTTGGAATATTTTCTTCTTGAGAAGCCTGCCTTGTTTCTATGGGATTGTAACCACATTTGAAGGAGACCAACTGAATGTTTCATTAATATTAATATAATTATTGTTATATATTGCTTTACAGTTCTTGCGTGTGTTGTTATTATAAGTTTTCTTTGTTTTGCTTTGATGATCGAATAAAATTGAGAGATTTTTTGTAAAAAATGAATTTAAAAGATTTATTACAAATAAGAGTAAAAAATACAGAAAGATTTATTGATAGATGTCGAGAACAAATTACTCAAGAAACACAATCCGGAAAACGCACTTACCTAAAAGACGCGAAAAGTGACATGAGCCAAGGTTGTGAAGCCATGTTGGGAAACGTCTGTTAATTAGCTTTATAAAATTTCGTGACCACGCCTTATTAAACGTTGATCATGTGTTCTTTTTTGTAATTAAGGATGACAAAGACTTTCGTATTATAACATTTTGCATGGAAAGGGCCAGGGTAGGGCCGTACCTAGTAAAGGACGGGCACCCCAAACGTCAAGTAAGAGGCCCAACTTCCCAGAGGGGCCCCCGAAATGCTAAAATTGCGGAACGTGTTAAATATTAAGAAATATTGTGAAAAATTGAGGTCCAAATAGTTCTGATAAACGTATTTTTAAATACTGTTTAATAAACGAGCAGGAGTGTTTTATTAGGTTAAAAGTCACGAGCGCGCAGCGCGAGTTGCTTTAAACCTAATAAAACAAGACCTCTAAGTTTATTAAACGGCTTCAAACACGACTACAAATTCAATAGATATACCGCCTTATTAGTATTCTTTATATAAAGAATACTAATGAAGACTCGATTACAATAGATACTGCCTTAATAGTATTCTTTATTTAAATAATACTAATTAGGAGTGTTTTATCATGTATAAAGCCACTGCACGTGACATATTATGGTTGACATGATTTGCCAATAAGCTTATGCATTATTAATGAATGTTTGAACCCCCCATTATCCCAAAAATGGAGGGTTAAAAATGTTTGATCGACAAATACTAGGGGAAAAATACAAGACTGAAGATACCAAGTCTACCTGAACGGTGCAAAAATAATGAATTTATGCCTTTGCAATTGTTTTTGAATTTTAATAATAATTTTATATCAAAGAAGAAAAATGTATAACAACTCCAACTGCTATTTCTCTCTTTAGTACATGGCACCCTAACGTTCTTTTTATTGACATAATGCTATCATCTTATTTTGAAGTTCCAACGCCGAAGCCAACATTGCCGAACCAACCACCGCCGAAGCAACCATCTAAAGCACTGACAACAGCCGGCTTCACAATAGCTGCCATTCTTGGAGGAATTGTTATCGTGTCTTTGATATATTTGTGGAAGAAACGCAAAGGTAAAAAGTGCATATTATTCGCCTCGTGCATGATCATTCATGCTCGCTTGATCAGTGTAGCCAGACTAATTTGCACGACAAATTTCGGAAGGTTTTTATAACTGAATGTAATATTTTCTCAATGTGAATCCTGTACGTACATCAGTCAAAAACGTATTACTCAGTCTCTTTCCAATCAATTTAATGTGGGCGAGTAGTATATTACATGCGAATAAATTGAGTAAATATTGATAAAAGATGCTTTATGGCCATAAAAAGGCCTCTCTATTATTTATCACTTATAATAAGTAATACATATATTTGTATAAGCACTAGAAGGCTCATACCTTAAATTTTATATAAAGTCGATCAATACTTTTTAGGCGATCTCGATGAAGAAACAGCACTTGGAATGGCGAATAAAAAGATTCAGGATTCACGAATTGCATCATCAAGCTATTGGACCGGATTACCAGCACAAGAAGGGAGACTGAATGGCGCTACCGCCTGGTCTGCAAATGAAAACGATAAGAATCAATGGATTCAAGTTGATCTTGGCAAAGAGAAAGTTGTCACAGCAATTGCCACTCAAGGTCGAAAAAATGCAGACCAATGGGTGGGATCGTATTTTGTGTCTTACAGTTTGGATAGAGAGAAATTTGAGCGTTACCAACTTAATGGAGAAGACGAGGTAATAAAGTTGAGAATTGTTGAGAATCGTTTTAAAAAAATTGAAAATACTGTAGTTCGATCTAATTTTGGAGGATGACGAAAGATAACATACAATGATTAAACAACGCTATTGAGCAGGGTTTCTTTTAAGATTTTGTCAGTGGAAAAGCTATCGAGAGAAGAGGATCCAACAAGGAATTGCTGTGCGTAAGATCTTGGAGTCTGGGTCTGGCCCATCCCTCAAATAATGGTTTTGAGCCTTGCAGACTTGATTAATTAATATTTTGTATTAAACAACTTTTTGTATTTTTCATCCTCTAAAATATAGACGAAGGGTTTGGCATGGGAATACTAACTAAATCACTCTTTTTGCTTAAGTTATTCTTCCGTTAATTTTAAATGGGTCACGGGCGAGGCCAATGTTGGCGCTGGGGGAACTTGCCCCAGACTATCTGAAGTTTTATTAGACCATGTATTTGATTAGTTAGTTTCTTAAATTTGGCCTCGTGTTACCGATCTTTGCAATGCCACTAAACATTTTTCTGCGCAGATGTTCAGTGGAAATGATGACAAGAATACTGTGGTCACGAATGTGTTATCGCCACAAATAAATGCCCGTTACATCCGCATACATCCCCAATCATGGTGCAATCATATATCCATGAGGATGGAACTTTATGGCCGCAGTGCGTTGAACTGGTCAGAAGGTACTGTAAACTTGGAGCTCGAGACTATATACAAGGTGTCTAAAAAACCGCAGACTGCCGTGCATCATGAACGTGGCTAAACAAATCAATTTTTATATAAGACGAAAGAACGGTTATTTAGCTTTACAATGATACTCTTTTTAAATCGTAACGATGAGAAATGGCCAGACACTCGCCAAATAAATATTTTCGGTCGAAATCACATTGTTCCACCGTTGGGAATTCCATGCCCATGGAAAACAAAACACATGCAGGCAATTCCCAAGAGGGAATTAAAGCAGTTGAATGTTAAATTACCTAAAATGAGCTCAACTCCTCAATCTTCGTCTTAGTGGGACAATAAGAACCTAATTATTGCATATAAACATGGTTCAATTAACCACTCAACAGAGAACATTCGTAACAAGACGTTTTACGAAACAAATACCATCGGCAACAGGCTCGCGTTGCTTTTGGATCGATTAGTTTTGCATAATTAATTTTTTTTCAATTCCCAATGGTGGAAGAATGTGATTTCGACCGACAATTTTCATTTGACGAGTATGTGGCCATTTCGCATCGTTACAGTTTACGAAAGGTATCATAGGAAAGCTAAATAACAGTTTTTTGTCCTATGTAAAAAATGAATTTTTTAGCTGAGTCTATGATGCACAACAACCTGTTAAATTTCCATAGATGTTTGTTAGACACCCTGTACATCCGCCGGCGAAATTAAGTCATGTATCATGAATAAGTTTTATATAATAACCTTAAGAATTTATTCGATTTCATTGGTAGCGAGCCATGATCTATTAGAGGACAGACGCACGGAATTACGTCATAAGTTTTTAAAATGTCGAAAATATTTGAATTTATACAAATTGAATGAATTCGTGCAATTAAATCTATGAAACAACAATAAATATCTTCGATAAATGTGCAAAAATCACTCACAAAAGCTAGCAACTCGGCAAATCTCAACTCAGTCATTCAGCTGCGACTTCAAAATCCAATCTTCGAAAACAAATACTATTTCGGTCATTTGACCCTGTCAATGTTTCGTTTTCCAGCTGATTTCTTCACGTCGTGCAACATAGGCAATGTTTAAGTGCTTTTTAATTGCCATAGTCGCTCAGAATAAAATAATTGCCTTTTATCACAGGTTTTTATCCTTTAAAACAATGTTTTTTCACTGTTTTGATAAATTTGTAGTTTTTCCTTATTCATTACCGTCTAGCGCATTCTAAGCTTAGCCAATCAGAATTCAGCACGTGACTTAAGCGAGCCAATAGCATTTCGTTATTTGTATAGATCATGTACTGGTAAAATTTGCAAAATTTCGACTTCCAAATGTTTGGGGGAATAAAAATAAGCTGTTTTCTGTTTAATTCGCCCAGGCGGCTGGTGGACAGTTTTTTGTTCTTACCACATATGATGTCATACTGTGTGTCTATAACTGAACAGACAACGGGAAAATGTAATCTATTTGTTAAGTAGATAAGATGCAATAAGATTACAATTTGAGTTTAAATTGAAAAAAGAAAGTCTTACTGTGGTCTATACATTGGACATAAAATATATTATTAACATGAGGCTTAGAAAAGCTTCGTTCTTAAACATTTTGAATTCAAATTTAACCAAAACTTAATCAACTTGCCATTGGAGAATGTCCATTAGTTCCACAAAGATTTGCGGAAGAAACCTCCTGGCGGATTTAACAACATTAACTAAACGTCTGGATAAAACATTGACTTGCCTTAGCTATGCGCATGTTGTATAACTCCCTATCCATAATTACGTCACAAGTCTTCGCTTGAGCAGGAAATCTCCTTCTCGTTAGTTGTCAGCGAATTGAATTTTGATAGGCTTCCAAGCCAAGGAGCGATTCATGTGGTAATTGCAACTTCTGGATTGAACCCTAGTGATTGAAGTAAAAGTGAGTCAATTGGGAAATTTTTGAATTCCAAAACCCATTAGTTTATAGAATATATAAACCAATATTCCGAAGATTTCGGATTCATTGGTCAATCATGGCTTTAGCCAATCATGGCTTTTATTCCTTCTGCATATCAATTTTCAACATCTAATATTGTGCAGTATATGACCATGAACTCTTTACATTTTACTTGTTTAATTTTCCTCCATTACATTTGATTACTTAAAATAGCAATGATAAAAAAGAAATAAATTGACAATAGATATCTTTTAAATTAGCTTTTAATGACTTGGGCTTTTTATTTCCAAAAATTAATATGAATTAATCTTTCCATATAATTTTTCAGAGAACGTGAAAGTTTTTATTTTGAATCCAAATCACTGTGAACTCTGTACCGGAGTTGTGCAAACGCTGGCAGGATTACTGATGGAAACAGGTCATATACGTTGTGAGGTTGACATTTTTGCTCCCATGCGAGAGAAGTGTCAAGGATTGGCACGTTATACACAAGAAATGATCTCCAAATGTGATTACGTCATAATTCCATGGATGTGCGAAATAAATCAACCAAAAGAAAGTAAGATGTTTTTTAATTCCTTAAACAAAAGGACAAATCAGACTCCGAGAAAAAGTTTTTCCCAGATTTCAAGATTTCGGAAAACAAGAAGAAACACTAACAACTTTCAAAGCAATACTTCAAATGTAGAATTTGCTATAAATTAGAAATAGTACTCCAATTACTAATTTTTCGTCTCCTCTTGTGTGCGTCAAATCTTGAGTTTCAACTTGGAAGCCGGCTTTATTCGTAGTTCATTCTGCCCTTTGGCTTTATTTTACAAGGTCTGAAATATTTGATTAAAATTTTTTGAGTATTTTAGTTCAGTAGATACAATCCACTCACTCTTTAACTTGCACTATTTTTTAGTAATCCCTCGCAGGGAGAACTTAGTAGCGTGTATAATGCCGTGTATAAAAACTATCCACAGGCAGGGTGGCCTGGTCGGCGAGAGGGAAAGGAAGACGGAATTTCGTGAAGAAGCACACTTCTATTCTGGCCATTCTGTTATGTTTTTACATACTTGTGTTTTTGTCTGTCAGCTACTCCCCTCTTGCCCATCGTGGTAAAGAGCAAGATCCAGCTGCTCCTCCTGCCTCTACCCACAATTTCGAGTTTCCAGACTCTCCGTGTAACATACGCAGTCCCAATGAAATGCTATATGTTTGTTTTTTGCTGTGATATGGCGGAAGTTATTTATGAAATATTTATATTTCCTATATTTCTTTACAGACACATGTAAAAACATGAATACTCTAATCTTTCTTTCATCGTTGGATATTATTCACGGAGAACTGCTTCGAAATCGAAATAAAAGGGATAAATTTGTTCCCGTGTGCTTGGATCACTGTCCTTTGGATATAATTCCTCCGGAGGAAGTACTTCTACAAATCTACAATATTCCATCCAAGATAGATGACTTGGTCATAGAACTGTTAGGGAAAACACGACGACCTGAACCTAACACAATTTTGGAATTTGACGATGAAGAATATATTACGGCAAGAAGGAAACTAACGCAAGCTATCAACAAAATGGAAAAGAATCATCCCACACATTACGCAAAAGAACTCTGGTAGGGTTACTAACGCAAAAGAACTCTGGTAGGGTTACTGCTAAAGTTGCTTGAAATCAGGTTGTTATTTGCGTAAATACAATATGATTAATCGTGGTGTTGAGGATATCAAACTTGTATAGATAGAAAAAAGAAAGAGAAAAATTTTATTTTGACACGCTAACTCAATTAAAACTATTGATTACGTGAAAGCATGTGTTCAAAAGTTATTATACAAAAATGTTCTTATGGTATATAATACAATGAAAGAAATAATGTAACTGTTCCAATTTACAAAATTACATTATTTATTATTAAAAATTTTCCACCCCGATTGGTTACCATTCAGGTGATTATAACGCGATAATCACCTAAGCGATTTTCGAAATGGCGGCCGAAGCCGTTTTGTCAATTAAATGACGGAGAGACATGAGCAGCAATGTTTCTTTCAAATATAGAAGTTAATAAAACGTATGTTACCGTGAATGCAGTAGCATCTTTGTTATCTAGTATGCACCGCTACTGTTACAAATTTTTCTGACACTGAAACTAATCTGAAAATTTAACTTTTGAGTTTAGGTACGCTGATTTTAAATATGAAAGAATTTTTAGCTAGCTCCCTAAGTGCAGTTCTCTAAAATTTTATGGTTTTGGGGTACTCTTCGCTGTTAACCAAATTTATATTGAATACACTTAAGAGAGGACAATGTGATCATTCCCAGGAAAGTATAGAAGCTGTGTGCTGTTCATATATTAACAAATAAAAGCATTGTTAGTATTGCCATGGCAAACATGTCGTTCGATCCATATCGTTTTATCTAACCTCAGAATGAACTGACAATATTTTTTCCTTCGGTGAAATTTTCTTTGATGATTTTAACATATCAAAATTTGAAGGAAGGTTGTAGGATAAGTTTTTGCGATATTATTGAATGACAATTGCAGAAAAACTTATCTGTACAATTTCTTGAAATTTCGATATGTTTTACAACTCATCGTGTTTAGCAAATGTGCACTGCGGAAAAACGTCTGCGCATGCGTCAACCTCACTGATATTTGCCTTGCCAACGTGGTGTCAAGTATTCCGAAAGTTGTCAAATTACTCAAAACGGAAGCGACAAGGAGCGACTTCGATGTTTTGCCTTTTCTGTGAAAATGCAAGCGGAATAATGAATAGGACAACCTATAAACTAGAAATAGTTACAGTCTGCATGTGCAAGAAGTAGTATTATGCAAGAAAATGAACCAAAGGTCACTATGGATAAATTTATTGTATAAAACGTTCTTTAACTGAACTATACAACTATATTTTTCGTAGGTTCATATGATTCACAATTTTCTTAATAACTTTTTTGCGTAGCATGTACAATTTTTGCGTTGACTAAATTTAAGGATAATGATTTACTCTACAATATAATCGTGTGCTTAACAATTTGATAGTTTTCATAACTTTTCTGTCTTAAGTTCGGTACTCGACAATTTTTAATGTTCACGCGCCTCCCGGTCTAAAACGATCATTTTTAATTTAATTTTTTTTCTTTTTAATAGATTTTAAATTTAAAAGAACTTTGATTAATCTAAACTACCCGTCTAGTGTATTTTTTGTTTATTTCACTTACCTTAAAGCAAGTTTATACGTGCCCATAGGCATTATAAACTTAAGTTAATGAAACAAGCGTTCGGATATAACCAAAGTTGTGCAAAGTCCTTTGATTTGACCAGGTTAGGCACAAAGGTCAGTCTTAAAACGCGTGATCACTCACGTGCAAAGCACTCGGTAAATAACAATGAACCACTGTCAAACACTTCTTCCCATGCATGTGGGAAAATAGACCAATCAGGTCCAACTGTTTTGTTTGCTTATGCTTCCTGCCTGGGCTACAGGCTTCATTGTGTTGCCGGTGAGCCAAAGTGAAGGACACTTCACAGCGAAAAAATTGCTTAAATTTGTAATATATCTCTCACGAGGCAATGCCTCCCGCCCGACGCCAACGCACAGCTGTACAACAACGCGCAGAGAATGCAAATCAGCCATCGGTAAACGATCTTCGACAACAATGTCTAGAAAAAGGTTTATCTGACCATGGTCGTCGAAATACGCTGGTCGCGAGACTGCAACAACATGCTTCAACGTCGTCGACGAACAATACCGCCACAGAAGCAGCGACAATTGTTGATATTGCGAACAACAGCGAGCAAACACCACTCGTCGAGCGAAGATCTGTGTCACACGAAAGCTCAAACGAAAACCCTCTGCTGAACGACGCTCAGTTGGCCCAAATCCAATCAATCGTCGCGAAGACGGTCGAACAATCGGTGAACGATATCGCAACAAACGCCGCTCGTGCTGCAGTACAAGCCATGGCAACTGCGCCTTCGTCAGCGCCTACGAATGAGCCACAACAAACCACGGGCACGGAGCTTTGCCCAGTGTTGATAAACCACACCACGCCAATCTCGACGCCAAGGTTCCAAACGTTCGAGCCCGAAGCGCCACATTCCTCTTCGCAGAGTCTTCCCGCTAGTAATCATCTCCCATACGGACAATCTTTCCACGACCTACCGGCATCGTACGTGAAGAAGATCCAGTCGGGTGAGTTTTTTGAGCTGTCAAAACTTTTGCCAAAAAATTTATGCAATACGGTAGATGAACAGCCCGTTGTACTAACGGTCGAAAACTCTATTGTTAAAGTTAAGCAGTCCACTCAGTCCACAACAAATATCACGGACATTGATAAGTGGACAACAGCCTTCACCACCTATATGAGCGTTTTCACGCATCAATTCCCTAACAGAGCCCAGGAATTGTTGCAATATATGACCATTATTCGCCATGCTGCTCATTGTCACAAAGGGGTGGGTTGGTGTATTTACGACATCAAGTTTCGTCGGAAGGCTGCACTTAACCTATCCCTCAACTGGTCCGAAATAGACCAGCAATTATGGTTGATGACCTTTACAGTACCACCAGCCAGTCTTAGAGAGGAATACCCTCTTTTCCATAAAGGACCTCAACACTATGCCACCCCGGGGACCGAACAAGGGGGCATTTGCCGAGATTTCAATAGGAGCGGCGCTTGCAAACGAGCGCAGTGCAGGTACCGACATATCTGCAATCGCTGTGACGGGGAACATGCCGGTCTTTACTGTACAGAGAGCGAAAGTCTCCAACCATATAGAAAACAAGGAAAGGTCCATTCATCCAGCAGCCAGCGCCATTCCAACCAAGACAAACGATAGTAATGTAGTTAGATCACTAACACCTATTTTTGTAGCTAATTTAGAAGATTCTCTAGCGGGACATCCCGACCCAACGCTTGTTTCACAATTATGTTCAAATTTAAAGGATGGAGCCCGAATAGGTTTTGAAGGGCAAAGGGCACCTAGATTTTCAAAAAATTTGCCCACTGCCCTTACCCATCCAAATATTGTAACATCAAATTTGGAACATGAGATTTCCCTTGGCCGTGTGGCTGGTCCGTTCAAGACCCCACCTTTTTCTAATTTCCAAGTCTCTCCTATTGGCCTGGTACCAAAAAAGAATTCGACAAAATTTCGAACAATTTTCCATCTTTCTTTTCCAAAATCAGGTGCAACAAGTATTAATGCATCAATTCCAAAGGAAGATTTTAGTCTCCATTATGTGACAATTGACAATGCGATTGAAGGTATTAAGCGTTTCGGCCACGGCTGTTTTCTGGCTAAAACTGACATTGAATCCGCCTTTCGTCTCATTCCCGTGCACCCGGACGACTATGAGCTTCTTGGTATGTATTGGGAGGGGAAATACTATTATGACAAAGTTTTACCTTTCGGCCTACGAAGTGCTCCATATCTGTTCAACCAACTTTCTGATGCTATTGAATGGATCTTACAAAATAAGTGCATGATTTCATTTGTATGTCATATTTTGGATGATTTTCTTATCATGGAGCCACCATCCCAACTGCCCCCACACTATAGCACTTGCCAACAAAGTCTAACTGCCATGATGCTTACATTTAAGAACCTTAACATCCCATTAGCCCCGGGCAAGACACAAGGTCCTGCAACTGTGTTAGAGTTTATGGGCATTATCCTGGACAGCGTTCGAATGGAAGCACGGCTGCCGGATGACAAAATTGAACGCCTCCGAGCAGTTTTCAACACATTCCAAAAAAGGCGGTCATGTACTTTGAAAGAACTTCAGTCACTTATAGGTACCTTAAATTTTGCATGCAAGGTTATCCCACCGGGTCGCCCTTATTTACAAAGAATGATTGAATTGACAAGAAACATAAGACAGCCCCACCATCACATAAAGCTTAGTGCAGGCTTTTTTAAGGATCTCGAGATGTGGAAACAGTTTATCGTTAACTGGAATGGTGCCAGTTTTTTCTTGTCTTCTTCATGGGAAAACTCTGAATGCCTTCAGCTCCACACTGATGCATCGGGGGTGTTGGGCTACGGGGGGATTTTCGGGGGGAAATGGTTTCAAGGAAAATGGGAACCTCATCAACAATTAGGACAGCCCGAGATTAGTATTGCTTGGCAAGAATTGTTTGCCATAGTAGTTGCATGTCACATATGGGGGGAAGCCCTTCAAAACAGAAGGATAATCCTGAACTGTGATAATGAATCAGTTGTCAACATTATTAATTCCAAACGATCGCGAATTTCCCGGGTAATGGATCTTCTCCGTCATCTCACACTGTTGACCTTAAAGTACAATATATACCTTCGGGCCAAACACATACCGGGAAAGTATAATGAGATTGCTGATTCCCTTTCTCGTTTCCAGTTTCAAAGGTTTCGACTCCTAATGCCTCAAGCAGATGTCAACCCTCAAAAAATTCCAGTCCTTCTGTTGAAAATCTAAAGAATGACATAGAATATTACATTGATTTGTCTGTGGCCGCCTCAACCAAACAGACATACAGCGCTGGTGAGAAACGGTTTATTGCTTTTGTAAAATTATATCGACCCCATGAAGGAAAGCACTTTCTACCAGCAAGTGAAGAAACACTCGTGCAATTTTCAGCCTATTTAGCCAAAACCATCAAACACACATCTATAAAAAACTATCTTGCAGCGGTTCGTCATTTTCACATACGAAATGGTTTTTCGTTGGATTGTCAAAAGATGTCACGTCTCCAGCTGGTTCTTCGGGGTATAAAACGTTCCCAAGGCGATGAGAAAAGAGTGCGCCTTCCAATAACAATCCATCATTTAAAACTTTTTCACATGATGCTGGCAATACCTGTCACAACACATTTCGACTCAATTATGGTTTGGGCTGCCATAACATTGGCATTTTTTGGCTTTCTGCGGCTTGGAGAGTTAACTTGTAACTCAAAATTCAATTCAGATTCGCACCTCATGCCTGAAGACGTTGTTTTTTCCAACGACCTACAACCAACCACTGCTATGTCCATACGGATAAAAGAATCCAAAACTGACCCCTTTCGGGTGGGACATACCATAAGTATTGGAGGAACACACACACCTCTCTGCCCAGTGTTGGCCATGAAACAGTATTTAGCCAGAAGGCAGCCAAAAGCAGGGCCTCTGTTTGTAAATTCTGCGGGTAAACCACTTACAAAACAGGCCCTAACACTTGAAACAAAAAAATTACTCAGTCAAGCCGGATTCAACGCTTCAAACTTTGCCGGTCATAGCTACAGAATCGGTGCTGCAACTACGGCAGCCACAGCGAAATTACCTTCCTGGCTCATAAAAACTTTGGGTCGGTGGTCCTCAGACTGTTATGAACGATATATACAACTTCCTTCGTCAACACTGTTGAATGTCTCAGCCACACTCGCCAATATTTAAAATTTATCTCAAAAAATTTCAGGGGGAGGGAGTTCGTCTATGGGGAATGTGCATGCTGCTCATTTGTGGGGATGGAGTGCTCCCATAGGTCACCCTCATCCCATAGACTCACAAATCGATGTACCATACATTAAAAATGTTAGATTGAAGTATATCATGCCCAACATGGGGACCCAGACCCCCTGAGGGCATTAATTGCATTAGAGTCCAACATGGGGACCCAAACCCCCTGAGGACCGCCCAACATGGGGACCCAAACCCCCTGAGGGCAGTAATTACACTAGAGTCCAACATGGGGACCCAAACCCCCTGAGGATTGCCCAACATGGGGACCAAAACCCCCTGAGGGCATTAATTACACTAGAGTCCAACATGGGGACCCAGACCCCCTGAGGACAGCCCAATATGGGGACCCAGACCCCCGAGGGCATTAATTAGAGTAACTGTGAGTCTGTGGGGCGACACTTTGACCAGTTGAAAGTATATATTCGGAGCATTTCTCCCCAACAACCCTTCTCCCACAACATTGTGTGTGCTTTACTGTCTCATATATAGCTCTCTTAAATATTAACTAACCGAATTGAGGCATTAAATAACTAAATAGCCATGTTTTTGTTTACAATTTGGCATTTAAATGCTCGCCATTTTTTCTAGTACGCACGCATGCGCAGACGTTTTTCCGCGGTGTTTTGTATGGTTATTAGTAATTTTTATTTCAACTTTTTAGCTTACAAACGAAAACAGATATTTCTGACTTGTGTAATATGAAAATAAAATGTTAATGTTGAAAATACTAATAATAAAAACACTATTACGCTTTGTATTAATTCAGTGTTTCTTTAAATTTGTTTTTGTTCTTAAATCGGTATGGAAACTTTTCAACTAGAAGTTTGATTATAAAATAACCCGTAACTGATGTATTAGATTTAGCATATGAAACAATACATGTGAATTAAGTTAAATGACAAGACTTACATAAGTTTTTGCGATAATTCAACGCAATCAACGGTTGAAGAGTTCATTGAAGACAGTAGCTATCATTTCAGTCCGCGACACAACAAGCTGAAAATATTAAGCATAGACATAGTATAAAAGACAGTGCTGAACTTAAATACGTAAAAATATAGATAATAACGATAAAAAGATAGGTTAATTAAAACAAGTTAATTTATAGCATTCGTACTCTATACGAATCGTGAAAATTTAGGATTATAATGAAAAACTGGCGTTTTTTTTGGGGAGAAAAACGTCGAAAATCTAGCTTCCCGCTGTTTGCACTTTGCATTTTTACGGAGCCGGGAAGATTCCATCATTCCACGCGAGGATGACGTCTGATCTATATAAATTGTGTTTTAAACTGTACTAACTGTAAGGATCCTAGTGAACTCTACATATACCGGAACGATAACTCCGACTCTAAAATTGAAGTCAAGATGACGGAAATTAAAGCTCGTCTTGTACCTTAAGCCCGACATAATTGTCGAGTACCAGATTTTTGGGTAGAAAATGTTTAAAGGATTACTAGGATTAGTACCACACATGGTATTGCGGAGTTTTGCTTTTTTGTAAGTTCTTATCTTGCCCAAAATCATGTGACGTACTATTCCAGCTGATCACAATACCTGCATGAATACGCAACGTATAAAAAATTGCGTCCAAATGGTGTTTTATATTTACATTTGCAGTAGGAACATACGAATGGTTTTTAATTTAAACTGATGCATGTCCTTTTATTTTATTTTATTTTATTTTAACCTGATATCTTCGTATTTTTCTTTTAGTTTCAGAAAAGAAAAAGAAAGGAAATAATAATCTCAGCTAAATCGACTTGAACAGAACAGTGGAGAGGTTCAGATCTGTCACTGGCTTAGTACGCATCTGATTGGCTAATCGCATAGTTCAAATACATCTCATTGGTTTATTGTTCTAGCGGTAGCGGTTGTGGAAGTCAATTGTGAACCTCCATGATAAGACATCCTAGACCGGAAGGCTTAGAGAAATAACCTTCATTCAATATTATTTTTGCACAAAACATATTTAAATACACATTATTTAATAGCATGATACACTGTAAATTTCATAGATTTAAATGAACTCCAAATCTGTTATTCTATCACTCTTTTTGGAGACAGAATAACACTTTAATTAATATTGGGGTTGACTCAACTTCTATAATTGAAATTTACAGTGTAGCATCATAAATTAAGACGCACGCATCATAGGTAATTTTCAATTTAGTAAAAATAACAAGACAATGTTACACATATGTCACATGGGGTTCCCCGGGGTTAAGGGCCGCGTTTTTTTATTAGGCGTTCACTTTGGTTTTAGCATACACTCTAACTCGTGTTTTTACTATATTAACAAGTTTAGTTAGTATACCGGATCAGTTGAAGACATGGCGAAAGCATAAAATGCTGCAGGAAGCACGCTTTTTTGGAGAGCGCACATTCTGAAAGCAAATATTTTTTTAAATTTTTTTTACGAAACCTTATTCAGAAGATAACGTGTGGAAAGAGACGGGCGACCTCATTGCACCACTCTCAAAACAATAACTTGTCACCCAACAAACACCTGCAGAAATGGGACCTTTGAAATTTGCACGTCTTTCCTAAAAACAATGCGATCTTCAACTGTTTGAACGTAATATAATAATTATTCCGAAGTATATTACGTGTTCAGTTAACAGTTCGCAAACACGGAAATCGATATTTCTAGCTGATTATTTTTAGCGAAATGGAGGATTCGACATGCAACGCGGCGCGATTTTTCAGTTTTTGAAAGCTAATAAAACAGCCAATGAAAGGAAATTTTAAAAGATATGTATATAGGCTAGTTTATGATTAAAATGTTATATCGCCTTTAAATATTTGGAAAACATAAACCAGGATCAACGTAAAAATATCAGTGAGAATCGAAAAATCGCGTCGCGTTGTCGAATCGCCTCCGGTGTGTCTCAGCCTTAATGCGGCCCGAGTTAAATTTTGGAATTCTGGAAGGCCCGGTAATAGTAAACTGTCATATTGCAGGAGGTTTTTGTGACATCCAGATTTAGAACTATCATGTCTAATGTAGCATTATTCAATTCATCTATTTATAAAAGTTATTTTAATATAGAGAGGTTCAGGTTTGACTCCTACCACTGCTACCACTATACCCACTCTGTCTCACTGGCTTAGTCCGTATCTGATTAATCGAATAATGAAACGGATTTGACTGTTTGATAGTCCATTAATGGTAGCGGTAGCGGTAGTGGAAGTCAAATCTGAACCTCTGTATTAAAGCGTTCAGTGTGAACGTGTGGCAAAATTAAATCATGCCCACGATGTTGAAGATGTTAGGTGGAAGTTAGATGGAAGCGGGTCATAGAGAGGGTGGTCTTCATTGTCTATCATGCTTCATCACAGTTTTTGATCGCTTCTCGGACTAATACCTTGAATTGGTACATATTTGGCAGTGTATCCAGATTTGACGACTCTCCTACAAAATTTGCCGATTTGACTGGCATACATAAATATATCTTCGTAATCACATGCCCATATCTCAAGCATATAAAAAGTCTCTACATAACTGAAGTATCAAACTTGGGGAACGCCCTTGTAGTTACGCCAACTACTACCACACGTTCCACTAAGGAAACTAATAATCCAGTAAACGATGTAAGGATTTACATCTAGTTGCTTGAATTTTTCGCGTGAGATATCGTACGTCGCCGAATATTGTAAAAATAAGCCGGTTGTGATAGCATTTCAGTAAATTCATAGTGGAGTTGTGGCCCTAGCTCTTTATAAGCAAATTGATCATGCTTGATTTAAGAAATAGAAAACGAGTCGCGTGCGTTTATGGTGTGATAATGCACCAGGGAATTAATGTTGGGAGAAAGGAGAGAAGCGTACGAGAGACGCATGTTTGAATACGAGAGAAGTTTGAATGCGAGAGAAGCGTGTTTACTGGGAAAGTTTGGAGAATACGAGAGACGCGTGTTGATAGAACACGAGAGAAGCGTGTTTGCATTCCCGAGTTAATTATCACTCTTTAAATGCAAGAGACGAGTTTTGTACTTATTTTATAATTTTAGGAACTATTACCCAGTAAGCATTTTAAGTAATTTGAAAGATTGATTTTGAAATTCTCCTGAAATGTATTCATTGAAGTCACACGCATGCATTTCATCTCTTAGAAACCAGCTTGAATTTTCAGGCGGCCGAAGGAAAAAAACATTGCGTAATTTAGAAATTAAACTTATTAAACGGGGGGAGACGAATTTGCTGGTGGTTTTTTTGCCGCATCTTACAAGCTGGATTTAGCACGAAATTCGTGTGCTCAGAAAATTGTATAATAATACTGATAATTAATAAAGTTGGCAAAGTGTTTATTAAGACAATTTACGGCTAACCCTCTCTCCTCCGCAGAGGCTTACTTGAAGTTTCTAGTTAGGAAAAGTGAGCGCGCAAGGAGTGATGGGAAGAACGAAGTAAAGGAAAAAGGAAGCCTCTGCTAGTTAATGCACTCAATATGGCGTCGTATATAATCGTTTGGAGTTCGGTTCGATATCAACCTTCCAGGGTGTTTAAACATCTTTTCCACTTTCCTTTTCAGGCGCACTTGAGTCTCCTGGAGTGAATCCAGTATCAATATCTTGTGGCCATTTACACCGAAAAATGTTAAGAAATTGCGAATGAATATTATGGATATGACCAATCTAATTATAAATATCCTCTAAATTGCAACATTTCTTCATAAAAATGACTCTACTGACCTTCGATACTCAGATTATGAAGATTTATTTCAATTTCTTCCGAATTTCCGTCCATTCCAAGTTTTAAAAAGGTCAAACTACAGTTTGGTTCAAAAACGATACTATTTTGCATTATGGGGCAGAGCCATCTCGCTTTCATTTCAATCTTCCCATCACTCCGCGCACGCTCACTTTTATTCGGGAAACTTTATGTAAGTTATTTGTAGACACTTAAGGAGGCTCTGCGGAGGAGAGAGTGGCTAACCAGTACCTATTACGTATATATCAACCTCGTTCCCAGGCTTTTCCCTCTTGTGTAGGAAAAACTCTGGCTGCGGCTAGTCACGTGCCTCTCAGATTTTGATTGAAAATTTGAGGAAGGAGTGATAGAGGAGCGTGTCTGTTGCGTTTTATAAATTACAACTTTACTGTTGTAATTTTTTGGTGTTACAATTTTACATCCGCAACAACAAATCGCTCTATTACAAATTTGCATTTATCTTGATGTGACTTCCCGCACTATAAACAAGTGTCAAGTTACATTTTAAGCAACTTGGATCAGATTTCAACTTTTCGACAATCCAACACGGCTTGTTAACTTAAATTAAAGAAAGTAACAAACAAGAATATATATTTCTAGACCGACCGATCACTTACCGATATGGTTTTTATTTATACTATTATTAACTGCGAGTAAAGTCTGTCATGTCACTCAAACCCATTGTAACGAAATAGCGAGATCCTTAATTGATTTGATTTCCGAAATATATCGGCAACTGCAAATGTCGCTAGCTGTAAAGTGTGTGAAACAAAACGCTTAAAATTCTTAAATTAAAGATTTCTGTTGCCAGGAACAAACAAATGATTCGATGAATATGTACACTTTATTATTATAATGATGTAATTTTGTATGCATACGTCTATTGTATTACTGTTTGATTGTAAGTATGACTGCATATTAAATAATCAGTGACCTTATTAGAATCATTGTTATAATATAGTCACCAACCGTATATGAGCTTATTGTTGTGCACCTATATATTGTTACTGTTGAGCTTATTGTTGCCGTACTTCAGCTGATATATCATGGCCATTAGCGAAAACAAGATGGCAGCACAACACACTTTTTCGAACCAGAAAACAGCAAATCCCTCTAAAAGGGATAAAGACACAACTAGTATTAGGAATATTCAGCATTGTTGTGGAATTACTTCCACTTCTAACAGTTATCATCTTCATTTTCTTGCTAAAATTCCAAACAAAGCGATTATTTTAATTTTAGTAATTTTTTCCTCATCATGCTTTCTTGACGAAAATATTACTAGATATGTTTATAGCATAAATCAAAGCTAGAGAAAAGCACACTTTCACGAATTCACTAAATCTGTCGCATGCACGTTAAAAATAAAAACATAAACCCATGGCAACGGAGGAAAATGCAAACGAATCAAAACGCAGAGATAATTCTTCACATGTGAAAAATATCGTCTGTCGTGAAGATACGATTTTTATTTCGCCAATCTACTCGTACTGCACGGAAATCTCTATAGTTATAATATACAACTTATGGTTTATACAGAGAGAAAACTGAAGTGGAGACTGTTGAATAGACATGCAATATTAATTTATTTTTAGGGCAAGTCAACTCCACTTGAGATTATTTCCGCCGCCATTCTGTATGTCACGCTTTTTTTTTTAATTAATGATTAATTAAACAAGAACTATTATATTCATATTAGAACACACTCTTCCATCTAACCTTTCTTGCAATTTTATATTTATTGAAATTCTTTAAAAAAGTTTGACATCGTGGTAATTGTAACATGACATAAAATAGTCCCACTTAATAACAAACACCGTAACTGTTTCTATTGGAAGCAGACATTATCCACTGGAGTTATAATGAGCTACTGATTATACTTTCGTCCGGACGCATTGAGTGTTCGCATTTTTTTTTTTAATTTTTGCGCATAAATTAGAAGTCATCAAAGGAACTCTAGCGGTCACGGGTTTCATGTCTCTTCCATGATCAGTGAGAATTGCACATGGTTTCAGAAGAATGAAGACTTTAAATCTTTGTTATCATTTCACTTTCTTTATCATCACATGCTGTGGTTGTTGCTGCAGTAAGTTGATCACGACTTCACGGGCAGTGAACATCGTAAGTTAGTCAAATATATATTTTGTTACAGCTGTTGTGTATTTCATGTGTACTACATGCACTTTTGATATATATAATATAGCTTTAGCAGTTTACCTAAGAGCCAGGTGTAGGGAGCGCAGCGAAAGAAGTCGGTGCAGTGTTGAAGGAAAATTAGGCATATAGATTTAGACACAGTTTACACTCACTGAGAGTGACAGATTCATCGCGCACCAATATATGTTCTACGTATCGCGCATGCAGCGACGAATTTCAAATGGCAAACCACTTTGGTTTTGACTAAGCTGTGTCCGAAAACTTTGAACCCACGGAACAAATATAGAAAATTTAAATACTTTAGCTTTTCGATCTGAGCATTTTTTTGAAATTTATTAACAGATGAACTATATGCTAATCCGACAACTGAATTTATGAGAAGTTTTTCGGTTTGTAGTTATTCATCCATGCGCCAGTACATCATAAACGCTTGTACCCGCGAAAACCGAATGTCTTCATTCTGTTGTAGTGTATCGAAAACGGTTAACGTATCCGAATACTAAATGCAGAGACTTTATAGAACCCGCGGTCAATCTCTGACTCGAGTACGAACAATTAAGATCCTAGACTATGTTCACACTACTCTAGAGTGGTTTCAAAAACGGCGCGGAAAAGTCAGAATTAGCCGTCGCGACAAACACCACGCCGAAGCAAATGTGTTTGAGGTTAAACATTTGGGCAAAGTTTTCGAACGGAGGGAGTTGAAAAAGTAGCGTTTGGCGGTTTCATGTGAACAACGGCACATTTTTCAGCTATCTTTCATATCTTTTATTTTTTTACTTTAGCATATTTTTATTATTTTTTCATTATTGAGCTCGTTTTGCGAATCCGTACCAAAGCTCTAACGGCTTAATGTGAATAGACGCAAAACGTGGCGTCATTATTTCGCTCCGACGTAGTGTGACGTACTCTTAGATAACTGTTGCCAAATAAAAATAATATAGATTCAACATATTATATATTACCATATAATATGTATATCAATGCTGGCGATACCGTGCACATCAATTATGCAATTATAAAATTGCCACACAAACATATGTACATGCATGAAACTAAATTTTCTGGTATTTTCCAATCATGATTCACCTTAGACGCCTTAATCTGCCTTGCAATAATAAATATAGCACGTAACGTTGTCCCAAAAACATAATGATCCATATTGACTAAATAATACATGCTGCATGGATAAAACTCCTTTTCCAATCAAAGCCGACACTGACGAAAGTATAGTTTGTCAATTCATAATTTGCCATGAAAAATATGGTTAGTATATTTGTCTGGGCCGGTTGTGCGAAGGCTGAATAGCGATTTTTCAAACGTTACGTTCTAAAATTGTCCATAGCTTTGTGTCCATGGATCATTAGATATACTGGAGTGCTGATTGTTGAAAATTATGAAACTGAGTATTTTAGTTAGTATTTTAGAAAGTAATAATACTCACAATCCACTCAACGATGAAATGTCTAAATGTCATTTTTAGGGAGCATATCATATTTAGATAGTATTTCAATTGCATCAACAGTAGTTTTAGTGACACCAATTTCTTGATAAGTAAAAAATCCAAAACACGGAGAAACAACATTTACCGCCAATATTTTGCCGCGGGTTCAAAAGACAATGAAACTATGTTGAATCTCAATTATCTCAATAGCGAAAGATATTAATGGGAAAATTAAACAAAAACGTAGTAAACTTTGTTGTATTCGTTCATTTCATAATTGTATTCGTGACATCACGAATTTCAAATAGGTCACGTCTGCTCTCGTCAGCTGTTTCATGTATCTATTCTTCTAACTATCCGTGATGTAATTAATTTATTAATTATTAATGTTTGTTTTTTATTTACTGCGAGTTCCATATTCACAGTTTTATATAGCTTTTTAAGTATTTTTACAACCGTTGAGAATTGTCCTGCCTTCGTACTAGAGCATGCACTCTCGTGGAATTTGGCGAATGGTTGCATTACGACACTGGACCTGAGGATGATATATTTTTAAAATATTTGAAATACGTCAACCTCTTCAATGGAAAAGTTTGTGCCGCTAAAAACTTTATTTTTTATAACGCCTGGTTCAACCCCCCCCCCCCCCAATCCATGCTGTTATTTGGGATTCACTCAGTCTTATAGGATTTCGTGGACAATGACTGCAATGAAAAGCTGCAAAGCGCTCTAAGGGTACATTTGATCCACGTACTTCACACTCCAATCTTAATTAAAAGAGGGTGTTGATGGGGTATGTCGTGAGTCAGGTGATTGCTCAAATATTGTTTATCGTTTCCGAACATTTTTCAGCAGATTCAAAGATTTATCGTTAAAATACCAAAATTTTACCGTTAAAGTACCACAAAGTTTACAGTTTACTGATTTTCAGCCCCCCCCCCACCCCCCGCCATCAAGACCCTTTTAAAAAATCATCGTATCATTATGAAGTTTACGAGAATATTTTCTACTTGTTCAGTTAACGGAATGAGAGCAAATTAAACCAGCTGCTTTATTGGCGACAAATATCACGACCTGCATGGCTTTCAGATGACGAATTATAGACTCATATATTATCCCTATACTCAACTCCTATCATTTGGAACTGTTTTAGCCGTCATACTTCTATTGTGTGAAACAGTCTGCAAATAATTTGGCTCGTGCCAATAAAAATGTTCCGACAAATATTCATCATGCAGTGCATATATATATTTCCAAACGTTAAGCACCTCAAGATTTTGAGGAAGTTATTTAAGTCAAAAACTTCCTATTTAAATTGACAACTAAGAATAATTGCCATTCGAAGAAACTAGCGAATAGGATAAAAGGACTGAGCAAAACAGACAAATTTGAACACTACGTTGTTTACTCCAATCACTGAAATGTCTCGGCAATTTTTACTCACACGCTAAATCGGAAGAAATTTTGTATATTTTTCACTTCCCAAATGTAAAATATTTTGTTTTAACCGTCGATTTTTCACATTATGTTAAACATGTACATTTGACTTTGTGCATGTTGGAAACGAACATTTTTTTCTGAAATTCTATGCAAATCACCGATTTTCAAATAAATTTCAGTATTAGAACGACAAGAAATGTCGCGACAATAGTCACAGCATTCAGTTTGACACATAGTCACAGCATCACAGCATTCAAGCTAACAAATGCTGTAATGTCATGGTCAGTTAAGACTGATATACGTATATAATATAATCAATCAATTCAAACACAAAAAGTTATGAAGGTTTTCATGACAAGAACTTCCTCAAATCTTTGGGGTGATGATCAAAGGAATAAATGCTTAAAGTTAGCGAATAAAGTTTTTAAAACTGCTGAATTAAGCAGTTGCGTCAACAGAAATCAGCATGGTATAGGCCTGGAGTTGCATTGCGAAAGCTTAATGATACTCACTTGGATGATGTTAAATTTCGTAATTGGTATAATGTAACAGCTAACTAGTTGCTCTAGATTTTTCACCGTAGGTTAATGAATTGTTTGGTGTTATTGAAAATTTATAATATAGAACACAACAGACGAGATCCACATTGAAGTAATTTTTAATAACAAAACAGTCCTAACCCACGAACGTATTGAACTTGTGTGTGAAGTTAAACCAGAAGTTGCTGTTTTGGCTACAGTTTGGATGAAGGAAAATGAAACTATTTCTGAAAACCGAAGAGTTAAGATTAGGGAAGATAAACTTATAATTAACCGGACAATGGAGAGTGACGCTGGTTATTACACATGCAGTGTGACGACTCCCTTTGGAATTCAAAATAAAACAGCATTTTTGACAGTTACAAAGACAGAAGAAGAAGACGACGGTAAGTATTCGTTATTTAATTTTAAGCGAATCTATTCAATCTGAATGAGCTTCAGCATGGTCTAGGCTGGTTATTCATCTGAGTATATGAACTTCAGTCATTCGGTCTATGAGAAAAGTGATTAGCTAAAATTCGGAAATTGACATCCATGCAAAATCTATGGTCGCATACAGTTTTCATATACCATTTTCCCCAGCTATTTCATGCACCTTCTAACGTACGGATCGTATCCCTAACTAAGTTATCAGTTCTTAAAACCTTGGTATTATACTTAAGTCGAAGTTAAAACACGACCTTTTGGTAGATGGCCATGCATGCAGCTTCATGCATGTAACGACACAGACAAAATCAATAGAAAGGGAATAGCATTAGACGCCTATTTCCGCGATATATTATGGCTTCACTTTTTTCACCCGATTTCTCGATCCAGATACAATATGGAGATTGCTAGGCTAATTGAAGTGGGTTAAGCTAGCAGAAATTTTAGCGCGGTCTAAGTATGTAGCTAATTGCAAGGAGGTTCTTTTTAAAAGCATGATATTAATGGATTTCCATCTTCATAAATTATGCAGCCTTAACGACAGTCAAATAGTAGACATAAACAAGCATCTGAACGTATTTCAGAAGAGGAATAGCTCTATTATTGCGAGATATTATGGTAGCGAAGAATACATGGACGGTTGGGGGCTTGTGCATATGATGCAACTACCTGAAAAAATAGAAACTTGCACCCGCGTTCAAAACGTCGATGTTTGTTCTTATCTTTTAGGTAATTGCATGATCGTATCAGGTCGGATATTATGTCGAGCTAAAACTTATTCCGTATAAAAACTGTTAATAATATATAATCATGAAAATACTAAATTTATTTCAGGTAGTAATATAACCACTCAGCACAGCTATTTTATAATCAAGAAACAATTTCAATTCTAATAATGGAAGTGTTCCCAAAACATTCTATCAATTTCCTCACATGAACCAATTAATTTAAGGCGTTTAAGGTTACAGAACACCTTTGAGTGTTTTTTTATTGGTTTCCATGAAAGCATCAGATATAGTTCTACTATTTGACCAAGTTTGAACGAAAAATGTTGAAAACTTGCAGAGTCATTTAATAAAATACATTTCGCATGCAACAAGATAAACTTTGAAAATGTAATATTCAAATTCAATTTTCCGAGCATAATTTTTTAGAACAACTATTTTTCTCTATAAAAATGATATTTTCATAAATATATCTTAAAACCAGCAGGAAAACAACTCAAAAGCGTAAAGGTATCGCGATTCAAGATTTTTCTGAATAATTCTTACATTATTTTATTGTTTGTCAATTTTACAACTTTACCATATTTTGTATGCACTGGCGAACATTTGGTAAGAATTTGATGAAAATCTGTCTGATATTGAGTAGCGAATTTCCGCAAAACGCCAAAAAGAGTGTCCTGTAACCTTAACCAATTATCTGCAATTTTGTGTGTTTGATAATTTCCAGTCACTTCATGCCTCTTTATGATTGGTCAATTGCACCAAAACAAATAGTGATTGGTGCATTCAACAGGAAGCTTATCAATTATTCAAACTTTTACAGAAGTTTTCAAATGACTCAGCAAATGAATTGGTTCGTGTAAATTGGTAGAATATTTAGGACACTTCCATTGCCATGACTGTAGTGGATACAGTGTGGTTCAGAAAATACACAACGCCGACAACGGTTGCGATCATATCGTGTACAACGATGTGAAAACCTCTGAGCCGTTCTTGTGTTATATCATTGTAAACCAATCTATATCTACAATCTAGTGTAACATCTCATCCTATTTCCTCAACCACCTTGACATTTTCCTAACCTTCACGACTAAACGAAAACAAGACCTTTGGATTATACTTCTCCTACCTTTCAAAAAAATAAGTTAAATTAATACTGATTATACTTACTATATTAATACTTCCACAAACAAAACTATTGTAAATTAATACTATTCACATAATACCTCATCACTACACTAACAAAATTTGAAATGACAGGCAAAATGTTTTCACCTTCATGCATGGTAAACGGATCTCATCTTGGACACATTCAAATACAGCAACTCGCAGCACAAATGTTGCTACAGGGACTATAAATTACACTGCAAGAAGTACACGCACAATTAAACGTTTAAACAACAAAACATTTTTACTTGATTATAGAGTCACAGGAAGAAGGCGAAGATGGTGGTAAGTATTCATGCCAACTATTATGCATATGTAATGTGAAATGCACGAATAGATATTTGGCAATCAATGATAGTGTTAATCAGAATTAGCGAACTCACACAGTCTATATGACGATATGCATGATTACGTGTAACGTAATTTGTCTGATTAAATTTCATCTCAATCGCATGTGAAGTTAATGCTTCCAGTTGGACTCCATCAAACCTCTTGTATTCGTCCTCTGCAACTAAGTCTGGAACAATAAGGATCGATGGAACAGACCGAAAACTTTGGAAGAGCGCGCTATTAGTGAAATGATAGGACATGACCAGTTGTTTGTTTGTAGTTTAATTGTTTAGAAAAATGTTACTTAATTAATATACCATTATTCGGTAACATTGCTTGTGATGATTTATACCGCACATTTAGCTGCAAGGGCTTTCGCTCGAAACATCGAAGCTCTCCTTCTATTTTTCAGATAGTTGTATATCCCTATCCATCCGCAGCATTCTTATTAATGGCACTACATTCACTAGTACAGACCGTTCAAGATAATAATATAGTATAAAAGTATCCTGCATTTACCTCACTCTAAATCGCATTATTTGCCTTTAAAGCCACGTTTACACGCTACGATTTGTTATATATACGATTCGTGTTCTGGCGTATATGTAACCGAATGACAGTTTTTCTCATTCTAAAAACTTTCACCTCTCATTCTAAAAACTTTTTCTTTCATTCTTAATCAGGATTCAATTCAAAAGGTTAAAACGACAGAATGTTGCTCTTCTTCAGGAATAGTTGCGCAATATGGTGGTCTATATTGCACAAATACCTGAAGAAGAGCACCAAGTTGCTTGAGAATCAAGTTTCATCGTTTTTAACATTTTAAACTGAATCCTGATTGAAAGTTAAAGAAAAAGTAAACGAATAAGAACGCGTAAATAGTTGTATGTATGTATACATGAAGAGGAATTGTGGCGACAAATCGCGACGTGTAAAGCCGTTACCTTACTGAATATTGGAAATTCAAATATAATACTGTATCGTAGCTCTCTGAAAATGCATATGATCTTATAACCGCTAAGAACGTCAACAATATATTATTTTTATTGTGTAGACTATTCAGGAGGAGGCGAAGATTTGCCTCCATGTGGAATGCCAAGAAAGAAGCTGAGTGAATGTAGGCCTATATATTGTGCTTATGAGTACTTCAAAATAGTGAGCTAATTAAACTAAATTCTAAAAAGTTTAATAATCATATATTCAACGTCGTGCAGGGTGGGAACCCTGACTTTTTAATCTTTGTGGCATACTCACGAAATACAAATTGAAGCATCACGTTTAATATAGTCAGTAAAATTTCAAGTTCGTTTCTTAAAAAAATGACTCTGTCATCGTATTAGAATTTCGCAAAAATACATGAGTAGATCGTTAAAATAGTGATTTCAACCGTTAATATGTTTTTCCAAATACTTTTTCTATTTTTACGTTTATAGCCTCTGGATGTAACAGGACGTTAAGCTTTACAAACTGTAAATCGTTTTCCCCGGCTGTTAATGTTAATGACATCGAGACCATACAGATTTTAAACAAGACTTCAGACTTTCCAACTTTAAGAATGAAAGTTCAATGGAAAGTTCCAAAGGCGGGTAAGTGGGTAAGAACAAAGGAACCGAAACAAGGCCAAGGGCAAGTTGTTTATCATCAGATAGAAGGCCATGGTGTTTATCTTCAGATATAGTTATAAAGGTCTTTGTAAGTTTTATACAAATTGCTATAAATGGCGCTTCTGAAACGTTTTCTTTAATATGTATGGTAAATTTGGAACAATAAGAATTTTGTATTATTAGTAGATATTCAAAAACTTTTTGAATTTCAAAATCTGCAAAAATTCTATATTGACGAGGTTAAAAGCTTGACCACTTATAGCATTGGATATAGATCTGACACCTATAGGGCGCGGAGCTATCAAAAACAATACCCTTCAAGTCCTCATCAAACTCAAGTACAACTAATAATTTGAGTGCTGCCATACAACACAAAGAGTTTTCAGCATGGCTTGATATTGTTTGAGTTCACATTAATGACAATAGATTAGCAGAGAATACAATCCGCGGTAGAGCATTGATGTAAACCGAGCTAGGATACTCAGTCAACTCCCAAATCTGATCCCGGAGCCGTAACAGCAGAATATATCCAGTTTCTGACACGACTTCGTTACAGATAATGTACCGCTGTTTAAAGGCGGCAGAAGACTGGCTTGGATGGGGAGGATGGGGGGGGGGGGG